CAGGGCCGGTCCTGTGATAATGGAGGCCCGAGGCGAGGTCCGTAAATTGGGCCCCCGGACGAAATCAACGTAAAAATTTACGTAAAAATCTAATAACATTTTCAATTATGTACGCAAAAATTTGAGCATTACAAGTTTACGAAAACAATACAAAATTAAAATAACATCCAAAATCCAAAACTATTCCCAAAAAAAAAAAAAATTTGAAGCAAAATTGGGCCCCCTAAGGGTTTTGGGCCTGAGGCTGAAGCCTTCCAGGACCGGCCCTGGGTGTGAGGTGGGGAATGGTTGTTCGGTGGGGTGGGGTGGGGTGGGGTGGGTATTATTATTGAAAATTAAAACACAATTAACACTTGACTTTTGTATTTTTAAACTTGATGTCTGAAAATTTATTTGGTGCATACTTAATACCTGACTTATAATTATTTTTCCCCCTTAATTATTTCTTTTCACCAGATTGGATAAGGAAAATTATGGTTGAGTTAGAGCCGACTACGTCAATTAGGCCATGCAAAAAGGAAACGATTGTGATTGAAATTCTTTATTATTATTATTTATTATTATTATTATTACTACTATTTTAATTTTTAAGGCAAAGTAGTCAAAATTATTATTAATTTTTTAAAGTGTCATTAAATAAAAAATAAAGTTCTTCAGTTCTTCTGTTAACCAAAAAATATATATTAAAAATTCGAGAACCACATGAAACAATCGACTCGTGATTAAAAATAATTATAATAGAATTGTGTGCGACATACATTTTGATCGAGTTTCATTTTCAAAATCTCCTTTCATGCAGATGAATGATTTCATCGGACGATAAAGATCAAAGGGAGCATGAAAAAGTAAAAATTCCACTTGTCACGTCATCAAAATTGTTAATTATTGAACCGACGGAGAGAGAGTAATGGAAAGGAGAGCTACTCGAAAACAACATTGAAAGTACTATTGAGATGTTTGACCAACGCCAACATATTAACAAGCAGAAAAAAATCAGTTCACCATGTCCATTCCCATTCCCATTCCCATTCATCCATGATATCTACTGTTCGAAAGCCGGGAAACTGGTTAAAATTTGGAAGGAAAAGTAGAAAAGATTTTCTTACTAACAAAACAACAAAAGTGTTCACATTTTCAAGCTACAAACTATCTAAAATATTCATCACAAAGAACATCACCAGAATAGATACATTCTTTGCCAAATTCAAATGCTTCCTCCATCAGTAGTTTCATCAGCGGTCATCCCTGTCAAAAGTGGGGTAGGGGTATGTACTTCTTCTTCAAGCAAGTTGTTCACCTTGCTGTTGAAACAATCAAAAAGTGGAGAGGAAGAAAGTGAAAATAAAAGTACAAGTAGTTTACAAAAATATAATGAGATCAAATATTCTATATCTAGTCAACGAACAACAAAGTATCATGGATTAAATGATAAAATATCTTCGAAGACAAGTGTGTTACATAACAGAAAGCAATGTCCTAGTAAAACTTTCGTACCCATTTCTTCAGAATATGGGAAGTATTCCAAAACAATGTGCTACTCAATATATGGGAGCAGAAAAATGTCACCAAAAAGGGATGGTAACAAATGACAACAAACTTCATTGCCTAAAACAGACGACAAATATCATTGAACTTCAAAAGTAAGGGCCAAAGGAATCCACATAATTTCCAGTGAAGTATCATTTTTATTTTTTCATTGCCAAATAAAGAAAATATTGCAATAAGCAGATACATGACACAATAAAATGTTACAAATGGGATGCATGTACAGGAGTAAACCAAAATAAACAAAATGCACATTGATAACAATTCCTCAAATGCCAAGAGACGGAGACAAACACTAAGGAATTGTTCGATAATGATTATGAAAATTGATTTTTTGACCGTTAAAGAGAAAAGTGGGTCCAATATGTGAGTGAAAAATGCAAAAATGACGGTTGAAATAGTGAAATAATGGTCAAAAATTTGATATTTTTGGGTGAAAATTTGCTACCAAACGAGGGCTAAGTAATCCCGAATTTGAGCATTAAAAGTTTACGAAAACAAAACAAAATTAAAAAAACACCCAAAATCCAAAACTATTCCCAAAAAAAAAAAAAAAAAAAAAATTTGAAGCAAAATTGGGCCCCCTAAGGGTTTTGGGCCTGAGGCTGACCGGCCCTGGGTGTGAGGTGGGGAATGGTTGTTCGGTGGGGTGGGGTGGGGTGGGGTGGGTATTATTATTGAAAATTAAAACACAATTAACACTTGACTTTTGTATTTTTAAACTTGATGTCTGAAAATTTATTTGGTGCATACTTAATACCTGACTTATAATTATTTTTCCCCCTTAATTATTTCTTTTCACCAGATTGGATAAGGAAAATTATGGTTGAGTTAGAGCCGACTACGTCAATTAGGCCATGCAAAAAGGAAACGATTGTGATTGAAATTCTTTATTATTATTATTTATTATTATTATTATTACTACTATTTTAATTTTTAAGGCAAAGTAGTCAAAATTATTATTAATTTTTTAAAGTGTCATTAAATAAAAAATAAAGTTCTTCAGTTCTTCTGTTAACCAAAAAATATATATTAAAAATTCGAGAACCACATGAAACAATCGACTCGTGATTAAAAATAATTATAATAGAATTGTGTGCGACATACATTTTGATCGAGTTTCATTTTCAAAATCTCCTTTCATGCAGATGAATGATTTCATCGGACGATAAAGATCAAAGGGAGCATGAAAAAGTAAAAATTCCACTTGTCACGTCATCAAAATTGTTAATTATTGAACCGACGGAGAGAGAGTAATGGAAAGGAGAGCTACTCGAAAACAACATTGAAAGTACTATTGAGATGTTTGACCAACGGCAACATATTAACAAGCAGAAAAAAATCAGTTCACCATGTCCATTCCCATTCCCATTCATCCATGATATCTACTGTTCGAAAGCCGGGAAACTGGTTAAAATTTGGAAGGAAAAGTAGAAAAGATTTTCTTACTAACAAAACAACAAAAGTGTTCACATTTTCAAGCTACAAACTATCTAAAATATTCATCACAAAGAACATCACCAGAATAGATACATTCTTTGCCAAATTCAAATGCTTCCTCCATCAGTAGTTTCATCAGCGGTCATCCCTGTCAAAAGTGGGGTAGGGGTATGTACTTCTTCTTCAAGCAAGTTGTTCACCTTGCTGTTGAAACAATCAAAAAGTGGAGAGGAAGAAAGTGAAAATAAAAGTACAAGTAGTTTACAAAAATATAATGAGATCAAATATTCTATATCTAGTCAACGAACAACAAAGTATCATGGATTAAATGATAAAATATCTTCGAAGACAAGTGTGTTACATAACAGAAAGCAATGTCCTAGTAAAACTTTCGTACCCATTTCTTCAGAATATGGGAAGTATTCCAAAACAATGTGCTACTCAATATATGGGAGCAGAAAAATGTCACCAAAAAGGGATGGTAACAAATGACAACAAACTTCATTGCCTAAAACAGACGACAAATATCATTGAACTTCAAAAGTAAGGGCCAAAGGAATCCACATAATTTCCAGTGAAGTATCATTTTTATTTTTTCATTGCCAAATAAAGAAAATATTGCAATAAGCAGATACATGACACAATAAAATGTTACAAATGGGATGCATGTACAGGAGTAAACCAAAATAAACAAAATGCACATTGATAACAATTCCTCAAATGCCAAGAGACGGAGACAAACACTAAGGAATTGTTCGATAATGATTATGAAAATTGATTTTTTGACCGTTAAAGAGAAAAGTGGGTCCAATATGTGAGTGAAAAATGCAAAAATGACGGTTGAAATAGTGAAATAATGGTCAAAAATTTGATATTTTTGGGTGAAAATTTGCTACCAAACGAGGGCTAAGTAATCCCGAATACAAATTTGTAAGCCCAATTACATAATAAACGTGCCTCATAAATGCTACATAAAAGTGTTAAAAAAAGAACACTTACTCGCATGTTCTCGCATTATGGCCCAGGCCCTTGCACCTGCGACACTGAAGCTGGCGTTTAATGCTGTCCATAAATTCAACAGATTTAACCTTTGGTTTAACTCGTCTTTTGGTAGGTGGGGGAGTTACAATAACTTCACTTTTTTCTGGTTTCTCCACATTTGGTATTGGGTTAATTGACTCTGCGTAAGTTGTGCAGTAAGTTTCAGTCATGAGGTATCTGGAGCAATAATCGTATGGGGTCCTACCAACGCATTCAAAAACAGCAATTGCATGGGAGCAAGGCAATCCAGTTAGCTGCCATCCTTTACAACTACAGTCCCATTTATCGACATCAACAAATTCGACAACAGATTCACCACGCACCTCGAATGTGCTATTTCCAATTGACTGCAATACTTGGAATGACTGTGCTTTACCCATCTCATTCTGAAGCTTGTCCTCCATACAAGGTGTCAACCTCGTAACCCAATTACTGGATTCATGTCGTCTTCTATACATCAATTCCATTATCTTACCACGCAATACATCAACCATCTGAGTTATTGGAAATCCATCCATCTCAGATACCCAACTATAGAACTGTTGACCAAAGTTGGATGTCATATGGTTGTATCTTGCACCACCAAAAAATGCATTAGACCAGTGTTCTGGTTCGCTCCCAATGACCCAGTCATAAGCTTCAGCTGATATAGCTTTTATATTTTCAAGACTGCGCTCAAAAGCCTCAAGTTTTGCAGAGTACGCAGCAGCATATAAATCTTGAACCAAGAGACATCTTGCATCGTGTGAAAGTCCTTTCAGATCTTTATTAAGTTTTTCAGAAAGACAGCGTAGACAGTAACCATGATAGCACTCTTTGCCAAATATATCAAGCAATGACTCTCTTATACCTTTCTGGAAATCAGAAACAAAAGTAATATGTTCTGACGTTGAAAAAGTAGATTTCAGTTGGGACAGAAACCAATGCCAATTGTCCTGAGTCTCCTCGTCTACCACAGCAAAGGCCACGGGAAAAAAATCATCATTCCCATCTGCAGCTGTTGCTGCTAATAATATTCCTTGATATTTTGAGTAAAGAAGAGTGCTATCAAGAAAAAGAAGAGGGCGGCACTGATGAAACCCAGATATTGAGGCATAAAATGAAACAAAAAGACGATGAAAGCTTGAATCTTCCTTAGTGGTTAGCGTAGCAAGACTACCTGGGTTAGTCTCCATTATCTTCTCACAGAAAAATGGTAAGTGAGAGTATGCCTCTTCATAAGAGCCCTGAAGCTGCTCTCGTGCAATCTCCTTTGCTCGCCTTGCCTGACTATAGTTCAACTGAATGCCATAATCACGCTCAATTTCTTTGGCAATATCCTTTGGCTTGTAATTTGGAGAAACTTTCAATTTTTCCTTTATAATAGTCCCTATCCATCCCCTAGTTGCCTGTCTAGCTTTTATAGTAGCTCCTCCACATGTATGCTCTGCATTCATAATCTTAATACATATCAGTTGTGTGGCGGCCACCCTTGACGCATATATACGCCACGGACAGCCTTCCACTTTGCACTTGGCAGTTACCCGATGGTTGTCATTTTTTTTATATTTGTAATCAAATCCATTAGCAATCGAGTATTTATGCAGAGCTTCACGGAATTCGGTAAAGCTATTAAATCTTTGGTCCACACCAGTGATGATGTTCTTCCACTGGGTTGCTGCTCTCCGATGCTTCTCTTCACTGCTAAATGGAGTCACTTCGAGCAATGTAGTTTCAATAGGCTCATCCAAAACAATTGCATCATCATCTTGCATAATATCCATGGGGTCATCAGAAGGAATCACTGCATCTGACACAGTTTTGCTTGACCTTCATAAAGAGCAGATAATAAGTTTCTAAAGAATTCGATGGAAGTTTTTGGTACCCCTCTGGTATCACTAGTGCAGACTCAGTTTCGATCAAGATCTAAAGGCACCAAACTTAAGCACATGCTGGAACACATACTGTACAAAATTTGTTTCATTTTCTCTCTCATAAAAACAGCATTCATAACATTGTAGATCACACAAGTAGAGCTTCAGCTTCAGTAGGTTTCAAACCTTTTCCTAGTGATCTATGCTTTCCTAGTTAGAATAGGCTAAGAAGTATGTATGTACCAGATATGTGTTTTTTTAATTATTTTATACTTTTTATAATTTTTATATTTTCAATACGTGTCGGACACGTTGATACACACGAAGAAGATATTTATTGATTTTAAACTCTTTTAAAACTCATTCTATTATTATTGACAATAGATGATAAAGTTTTTTTTTTTAACTTAATAGATAACTATTGTTATTATCAGAATCTTATTGGAAATAAATAATATTTATTAATTAGTGTTGTGTATGTGGCTCATACAGAGTGGAACACAGATTTTCTGAATCGAATAGACCGATGCAAGTACAGAGATATTTTCTTGTACGAGCCTTAAATTCTTATATGGGCCCAAACTAGGGTTAGTATAAATAAAATGTTGTAATCCTATTTTTCACTACTGAATAAAATTATCTCCGCTTCGCTCTCGTGGACGTAGGCACATAGTCGAACCACTTAAATTCTTGTGTTGATTTTTCTATTTCATCTCTTTATTATTGCGCATAAAATCTACCAATTAGCCATTTCAAATAAAGTAACTGTGTATTAAGATAATAGATAACTATACAATTTATACTCACTATTGAAAAATAAAAATAGAATTAAATAATTAACTACTAGAGTTTTAAATTAATTGAAAATAAGAATTATATTACTGAAAATATACAATATTATTAAATCTTTTAATACATGTAAATCTTGTTCAAAATTAGAATCTAAAATGTGGAATATGTCGAAGGCTTATTTGACAATCTTGTAGATGTTGAATTACTTGAGGTTGTTGATAGACAGTGTTATTTTTAATGATATTGAAGAAGTTGTCGATCGTGATATTGAAGAAAATGAAGTTGGGACAATTAGGGATCAAGATAAAATGATTGATTATTGTATCTTATTTAAATTGCTAAGACTTCTGTTTTAAATTAATTTATAATAATGAAATTATGTTGATTTTATATTTAATTCATGAAAAATACTACACGTATATATAATATATATACACGGATTTGCATGTCCTAAGATTTGCATAAAACTGTATCGACATAGCCCATAGGCGGATTTAGATGGGTTCATGTGAGGTTAACTGACCCCACGGATTTTTTTATTTTCACTTTTTGCCTATTTGCATGAATTTTTTCTTTTAAAATTTTTGTCTCCTAACTTCTCTCAAGCCCTGAATAGATCTTTAGAATTTGTAAAAAATAAAAGTTATGGAGCCAACTATTGATTGAATTTTTGTTATGAATGTTGGGTCCTAATACTTTTATTAATTTTATTGAGGTATATGATCAAGTTCTTGCATTATTGAGTATTTTAGCCAATATATTTGGTAGAAAAATAGGTTCGTGCTTTCTGCTTAATAAATTAATTTCCTACTCTAATTTTCAGCATTATTCAATCTTCTGTTAGTTCTGTATGCATGTATGAATGTATGTATGTATGTATGTTTTGAATATGTTTATCCATCATAATAAAATTAATAATGTAAATATGTAATTTTAGCAATTACATTTTTGTTGAAGATATTTGTGTCGATTTCAAGTTCTTACTTTGATCTCAGTTCCAACAACCAATGGTTTGGCCTAACTTGGTGGTTTTGAATTCTATATACTTTTATTTGCCTAGGATCTCATGAGATTTGAAGACTGCTACAATTGTTTTCTATTATGATCTAATGGAATATTGGAACTTTTCCATTTGTCTCTTGAAATTGATTTCGTTCTTATGGTTGGAATTATTATTTGGAATAGTTTCACATTCATTTATTTGTTGGGTTTCATGTCAAATAATTAAGGGAAAAAAAATAATTAAAAGAAAATCTCTATTTTCGAGTGATGAAACGAGTGTTTAATAGAAAAAGATGTTCAGGGAAAAATATTTATTACTTTAATTTAGACCCCACGATGAAGAATATCCCAACTCTGCCACTAGCGTACCGTATCGTATTCGAATTATATGTCCAAATCCGTGCTCCTTGGAGAATAGGCTTCCGAATATCAGTCTAGAAGTTTTTCGAGGTTATATCTATAACACTAATCATTATTGTTTAATTCATAATCCAAAAATTCATTTATCCTGACAATCTCTTTATTATCTAATTGGTTTAAAGCTTGTTTTCTCATCAATCTGGGCCGTACCTTTTATTACTAGCATAATCGACACTCCACCCTGGAAGCAGTGTAGGAGTATCCATACTGCTCAACATATAAAAGATTAACAATCAACAAGAGACCTGTGCCACTGCTTACTAATTGCACACAAAATCAAAATCAAAGAGGCTGGATCATAATAAGGATAAGTTATAAGGAACGGTACAAGTACCTACTAGCAGGCATGTTGGGCACATTCTGAGGACCAGCCACAAATACCTCAACTTGTTCAGAATCCTTGAAGAAGTTGAGCATGCGCTGTAGGTCCTTCTGCTTCGATATGGTAATCAGGGTCTTTCTGTTTCCAGGAAGAAAATACTTGATCGTCATGCCATCGACATTGCATTGAAAATTCTCAGACAGTTCTTGCTTGAAATCTTTTAACTGAGTCTGCTCATCGATGCCCAGAGCATAAGCTTCCCCACCGGTGTAAGACAAAGACCCATCATCTTTGTTGGTCATAAATTCACCTCCAGATTGGCATATGGCTATGATTTTCTTAGTCTCCATGAGCAAAGGACAGATGGACAAATAAATTTACACGGATAGTTTGCTTAAATATAAGTGCAACCCAGGACAAGCCAATCAACAATTTTCTATGGGCAGGTGACTAGCATCATAAAATCAAGCCTACATTCACAGATTAAAAGGAAAAAATGAATAAATCTTAGAAACACAACAATCTTCCAAACTTAACAGAGACCCTGAAAGTAAAATAATCCCAAATCTAGAGTGGACCATAAGAAGCGAACAAATAAATAAATAATTTAAAAACCATGAGAAATTCGACCATAAGGTTACAAATTGACTCGCAAAACTTAAACTTGCCCAACAAAAATAGAATGCTAAATTCATGCAAAATATTTAAGTAATATCATAATGAGTATTTTTATTTTTTTCAAAATCATGATATTTGGGGAATTCACAAAAAATAAAGTCTTAAGGAATTGGGAAGGTGACTTGAATCATAAAATTAAATCTACATTCACAGATTAAAGGGAAAAATAAATAAATGTTAGAAACACAACAATCTTCTAAACTTACCGGAAACCCTAACCGTAAAAGATCCCCAGATCTACAGTTGACCATAAAAAGCGAACAAATAAATAATTAATTAAATGCCCATGAGATATTCGAGTAGAAGATTTAAAAATAACTAGCAAAAATTAAACTAGCCCCCGCCCCACCCCCAAAAAAAGAAAAAGAAAAAAAGCAGAATGCAACTTATATGCAAAATCTTTGATTAATTTCAGAATGACTAATTTTTTCCCAAATCAAAATCAAAAAATTAAAACAATTACCTCTAACGTGACGAATTAACAGTAGTGTTTGAAGTGATGTTAAGCTAAATTCTTCAATTTAGAAGGGGTTATGTGCAAAATGTATGCCGTAGCACAGGGAACAACGAAGGGGTGTGAGAGAGAAACGGACCCTACAATAAACACACTGGGACTTGTGAAATTGGGCCTGTAATGTTCTGGATCGTGTTGGGCCCTAGCAATCCTCTAATTAAAAATTAAAATAATCTAGAAAATGAAAAGTTAAGAGAACCGAGAACGTTTGATTTATATGCCTGTTTGAGCCATATTATTTTAAAAAAATACATTTTTAAATAGTGATTTAATATTATTTTAATCACACATTATTTAATAAAATAATTACACCCAAATAAAAAAAAATTCTTATTTTGTAACCACACATTTTCCATTAATACATTATTCAAAAATGCATTATTACCAAAATAATGTGGCTCAAACACCCTCATTATTTTCAAATGGGAAAACTAAGCAAAACCCTACTTTTTGAAGTTTACAATTCAAAAATATGGATTTGAAGATTTCTTTTCATAAATAAGATGTTAATAAGTTTTAATTAAGAATGATATATTTTTAATTCAATTAATACAAAATTAAAATGAATTAAGCATATAATAATCATTTGTAATACATATCTAAAAGGAATTCAAATAGTAAATTATATAGTCACTTTTATATTTCTCTCTCTTCACACCCTCTCCTTCAACCTCCACATTAAATCTATTTATCTCTACAACTCATTTTCTCAAAAGTAATGCTATTTAGCTCCACTAGAATTATAATCCCAATTTAAATGACGTTAATGTGGCATTAAATAATAGGTGAAATTAAATAAATCATTTAATTTTCAGCTTTCATTTAGCGTTATCTAAACTGGGGTTGTTACCACAGTAAGGCTACATAACATTATTATTTTCTCAATCATGCCTTTCTCTAACCTCCACGTTAAATCACTCTAACACACCGTTGTCACGCCCATTGAGTTTCCATACTGCATTAAATTGAAGAAATTCGGTATAAATTCTCTGTGTAAGCAACATTTACCATAGGTTATTGTAAGCAAGTAATTACTTTCTTTATTTGTGCTGCAAAATGTTATCTATCATCTGTATTGTTGAACCCACAATCATTACAAAACAAAATTGAAAATGGTGTTACGAGAAGTATAGACCAAAAAATCTTGTTCAAAGGATAGTCGACAAATTGTAAGCGCCAACGACAATTGTATCGATCAAAAAATCTCGTTCAAAGGATGGTTGATAAATTGTAAGCGCTAACGACAATTTGCTACCCACAGACAATCGTCAACAATGACTTTATTGATTTCATTACCTTGAACTCAAAGTATATTTTAATACCTTTCGATGCACAGTTTCTTATAAATCTTTCTTTGTTTCAAACAATTGTTCGACATGCAAATCCCTGTTATCGGGAACCACATGTGAAGAATTAAAGAATGGTACACTTGATCCAGCCCTTGAGATTGACAGGAGTAACGGTCGACTGTTACTCCTGTCAATCTCAACATGTTGAAACCCAGCTTGTGTCAAATACAAAATGCAGTGCTGACCATTCCTATTACATTTAGGCAATACCAACAGAAACAACTTACAAGGGCCTGCGACATGTCTGGCCTTCACGTTTTAAGGCTAATTCCTGATTCAATTGCAGTAGCATAATTATACACACAACTTGAAAATAAGAGCAGCGATGAAACTGAATAGGTTGCACTCATTTTCGATATGGGCACCGAATTTTGCGATGTATCTATCATGACCTCAACAAAAGGAGTTTGCTGGACATTGGGTTTGGCTGGAGCTACCTCGGGAGGGGAGGAGATAATTCAAAGTACGATGCGTCACCTCTTTCCCTCATTCACAATGGTTTTTACAAATTTTCCAAAAATATGGAATAAGAGGTTGCTTCGAGCTGCAACCCGAGATGTGATCCACAATCTGTTGGACCATTCTGATGTTGAAATTAAGGTTGACCTATGGGGTGGAAAAAAATTACGTAAGGTCATTAAGAGAGTATTTTGAAGATGTAAACCGTGTGGGTTTAAGCAATGTGAGAATCTAATCTTCGATTGCCCATATGATTCGATTATGAAAGTTGCAGACTAAATGCAATCATTCTTATTGGAGGTTGCTCAAAAGTCCCGATGATACAGAAAATTGTTTTGCGACGATATGTAACAAAATACTATACTTGGGAATAAACCCACTAGTGGGTACAGTTTAAGAGCAATACAGGAAGGTGCAATGGCTTCAGGCATCGAAAATTTGCACCTATCAAGGATTCCAACAACTCGAATGAGCATTAGAATTCAAGCAGAAAACCAGTTTGTTCATATTATTCGCATAAATAACAAGTTACCAGCAAGAGAAAACTTGTCCTTCTTAATATTGAACTTTGAACAAAGAAACACAATGATAATTATCTATCGACGAAATTCTGTGCGTGACAGGAAGATTACGATAAGGAGCACCTGTCTCGAGAATGACAATATCATCCTCACGAGCTATCTCTATTGTGTCCCAAAAATCATTGACATTTTATTCGCTCCAGCCGAATCTGCGTGTTCACCTTCAACAACATCATTCTTCACTAAAGTTATACAAAGAGCAATCGGAATTGTGTGCATTTTGTTCAATTCTACAAGATAATTCACTTCAACATCAGAAGTAATCTTCGTAGGTGGAATATGAATGGATGAATGACGGTTGCATAGAAATCTCGGTTCCATATCGTACTGAGAGAGATCGATATTGAGCTTGATTTGTAAATCATGGTACATTTCGACATATGATGTACTCTCTATTACAGAAATGGGAATACCACTATGTATATCACTCTTGTATTTTCATACCCATCGATCATTTTCATCCAATTCAAAATCACCAAAGTAACAAACCGAGATTATAACTATATACGCATCACGAAATATAAATTCTAATTATAAGAAAAAAAGCCAAAAATTTGGCTCAAATCACTTGGCAAATTTATTTTAAAAAATATTTTACAGTCGGTTGAGCCGACTGAAGTTGGCCCGATTGGGCTGTTACGATCGACAATTAACAGTCGACTATTACGGCAATTGTTACTAGGCATGAAAATCAACGGTTAACAGTCGACAATTACCATTGACAGTAACGATCGACTGTTACTCCCATAGGTCTCAGCATGTAGTCGTCGACTATTACCATCGATAGTAACGGTCGACTGTTACTCATGTCAATCTCAACATGTTGAAACCTAGGTTAAGTGTCAAATACAAAATGCAGTGCTGACCATTCCTATTACATTTAGTCAATACCAACAGAAACAACTTACAAGGGCTTGCGACATGTCTGGTCTTCACGTTTTAAGGCTAATTCTTGATTCAATTGCTGTAGCATTATTATACGCACAACATGAAAATAAGGGTAGTAGTGAAACTGAATAGGTTGCACTCATTTTTGATATGGGCGTCGAATTTTGCGATGTATCTATCATGACCTCAACAGAAGGAGTTTGCCAGACATTGGGTTTGGCTGAAGCTACCTTAGGAGGGAAGGACATAATTCAAAGTACAATGCGTCACCTCTTTCCCTCATTCACGATTTTTTTTACAGATTTTCCAAAAATGTGGAATAAAGGGTTGCTTCGAGTTGCAACCTAAGATGTAATCCACAATCTGTTAGACCATTCTGATGTTGAAATTAAGGTTGACCTATGGGGTGGAAAAAAATTACTTGGTCATTAAGAGAGTATTTTGAAGATGTAAACCGTGATTTGTTTAAGAAATGTGATGATCTAATCTTCAGTTACCCATATGATTCGAATATGAAAGTTGCAGACTAAATGCAATCATTCTTATTGGAGGTTGCTCAAAAGTCCCGATGATGTAGAAAATTATTTTGCGACGATATGTAACAAAACATTATACTTGGGACTAAACCCCCTGGTGTGTGCAGTCTAAGAACACAGGAATGTGCAATGGCTTCAGGCATCGAAAATTTGCACCTATCAAGGATTCCAACAACTCTAATGAGCATTAGAATTCAAGCAGAAAACTAATTTGTTCATATTATTCGCATAAATAGCAAGTTACCAGCAAGTGAAAACTTGTCCTTCTTAATATTGAACTCTGAACAAAGAAAAACAATGATAATTGTCTATCGACAAAATTCTGTGCGTGACAGGAAGATTATGATAAGGAGCACCTGTCTCGAGAATGACCACATCATCCTCACGAGCTATCTCCACTTTGTCCCAAAAATCATTGACATTTTTATCCGCTCCATCCGAATCTTCATGTTCACCTTCAACAACATCATTCCTCACTATAGTTATGCAAAGGACAGTCGAAGTCGTGTGCATTTTATTTAATTCTACAAGATAAGTCACTTCAACATCAGAAGTAATCTTCATAGGTGGAATATGAATGGATGAATGACGATTGCATAGAAATCTCGGTTCCATATCGTACTGAGAGAGATCGATATTGAGCTTGATTTGTAAATCATGGTACATTTCGACATATGATGTACTCTCTGTTACGGAAATGGGAATACCACTCTGTATATCACTCGTGCATTTTCATACCTATCGACCATTTTTATCCAATTCAAAATCACCAAAGTAATAAACAGGGATTATAACTATATTCGCATCACGAAATATAAATCTAATTCTAAGAAAAAAGCTAGAAATTTGGCTCAAACTACTTGACAAATTTATTTTAAAAAATATTTTACAGTCGGCTGGGCCGACTGAAGTTGGCCCGATTGGGCTTTTACGATCGACAATTAACAGTCGACTGTTACGACAATTGTTACTAGGCACGAAAATCGACGACTAACAGTCGACTATTACCACTGACAATAACGATTGACTGTTACTCCTATCGATCTCAACATGTAGCCGTCTACTATTACCACTGATAGTAACGATCGACTGTTACTCCTGTCAATCTCAACATGTTGAAACCCAGCTTAAGTGTCAAATACAAAATGCAGTGCTGACAATTCCTATAACATTTAGTCTATGCCAACAGAAACAACTTACAAGGGCCTGCGACATGTCTGGCCTTCACGTTTTGAGGCTAATTCCTGATTCAGTTACTGTAGCATTATTATACACACA